AGGGTGTCGCGCACCATTGCGCGACATCGTCCACAGGGACAGACTGCCTGTCGCGCACCATTGCGCGACACCGTCGTCAACGTGTTAAACAATGCACAAGTCGCTGCATTCAAGATCAATGCCTAGAGGGGAGGATATGAGCGGGTAGCGTGTTAGAAGACTCGGCACGCAATCGTAGAGAGTACGGGGGCCGGGGAGAGTGCCGGGGGCGCCGGCAGGGGCCGATGGCCAGCTGGACGCCTGGGGCAGCCGTGCTGCCAGCGTTCCAGCACCAGCGCCTGTCAATTTTCTATTTCCGTGGTAATTTTCTCCAAATAAATGTCTGTTTGGACGTGATGTCGAATGTTTTCATGCATTTCGCGCAATATTCGTGTGTTTTGGACGAGTTGATGAGGAGCAGACGATGTGCTTAAGGCTAAGCCTCTCTCACTTTATTAATCCTTACTTGTGACATACCTCCCATCCCGTCCATCTCCTTTTTAACCAGAAAAGGAAGGCTAATCCCATTTTCCCAACTAACCTACCCCTGCGGCGTCTTTAGCAATTTCTCAGCCAAAGACTGCATCAACTTGATTAAATTCATGTTTTTTTTTGCCCCATAATTTTCTTTGCAGCCACCGCCTTCGGCGCTGCCTACAATTCGACACATATTCTCGCCCGCTGCTGAAAAATGGACGCTTTTCATCTAGGCTTCGCCTCACGCTCAATCTCGTGTTTCAACTGAAATATTTAACAAAATGATATCATATTCCCTATTTTGCACAGTGGCGGTGGCCTAGCGCAGATTTCCAAGCCAAATTGCGAATCTAGCTTGGAATCAATAAATCGATTTGTTGCTCTCTTACATTATGACACGTACTTGATCCATTTGATCCGCTTGATTCACTTCGCTATTGGTCAATTTTTACTAATTTGACCAATGAAGGATGAAGTGGATCAGGTATGACATGTGCCTAATGTGTTTTCTTCCTCTTTTTACATTATTCACATTCTACCAAAATTTTTTTCAATGCAGAATTCTGCATTTATTGCGCTTCTTTACAGAAAAATATTACTTTCATAACATAACATGAAAACTGAAATGCTTGCGGTTCGTAAATTCAATAAGCCTCCACGCAAACCAAGAACTTATTCTATCTTTCATATAATTTCACCTCTTATCCTCGTCCTACTGTAGGACTACGGTAGACCGCCGCTTACCGCAGTCGTCTGGAAAAGCTCGACTTTTGAATGTGTGATAGGTTTTCCCTGCGGATTGCGAACTTAGCTAAACTTTTCTAATTCTTGCCTTCTGGCATTTTGTAGGACTACGGTAGGCTAACGTGATATCGCATTCATGTGTCAAAGCTTCAATTAAGGTAGAGGACATTAGCCGAAAGGGGAGGTCCTGCGCGGACATTTGCGACAAACCAGGCGCCTGCACCATAGATGAATCATGCTAGCTGTACGCGACGGAGCTTATCGGCGACCTAATGTCCTCCACCCGAATTTGTGATCTACCTTTTGAGAAATGCATGCTTAGACCCCTTTTTACAGTTCTACCATTTGGTAGTGTAGTAGTACGATAGCTTGTGGACAGGTGCTAATTCAGCTTCAATTTCAAATACCGACAAAATTTTTCGCTGGTTTTTTAGACAGCCACATAAATGATTTCTACCGATACCACGCATAGTTGTATGGATCACTCATAGCGAAATTTATCTGCAGCCGTAACTTCCTTACAAACTTTAGTAGTTCTGTGCAGGACAAGTTCAACAATATTGCAAAATAATATAAGGAAAATTTGTTGTTTACAGGAATTTGTTGAATTGCTGAAAAACTCTACCGTAACTTTAGGCCTTGATACAGTCTCTTATTGATTTAATGCTAATCGTATTTTTATACTTCACAATTTGTCAAAAAATTATTATAACTTGTGTGCACAAATGACGAACTTCGTCTTACTTTACACTCACTCGTTCTGCAAACGTTACCCATGAACAAATGCAAGACTCAAAACAGGCGTCAGCTGTCGCATGGCACTCACTTTGACGAACAATTGTTGTTGGCAAAACATCTGGGCTCCTTTCTATGCGTGAAAATTTTTTCGCTCATTTTATGTTACCTAATTTTTCAAGATGTAATTGCAGCTTTTCCTTATTTCTCTCCTACACGGATAACTCATGAATTATAATCTTTTGAAAGCAGCGTCCAGGCAAGATCTATGCTCGATTGGTATCTAGTCTACAAGAAGGCCCTAGGTGGGGTTGTAGGGCGTTAGGCGACAAACCCAATTTTTTGGACCCCAAAGAACTCCCCGCGCAAAACGTCTCCTCCGCCAAAAACAGGGGGGTGGGGGTCGGGGTCGATACATTACTCGACGCCAATGAAAAAATGGTGCATAGTTTTGAGTTACGGGATTTAGGTTGCTTGCGTTTTGCACGTTTGGTCGCCTAACGCTTGCCCCCCCCCCCCCCTCCCTAGGTGTAGCCCTTTGCGTCAGTCCGGTCCTCTAATCTGGCCTCTGAGTGAAAAAAAATGGATCTGGAGCCCGTGAAACTGTTATCAAGCCACGCCCAGCCCATAAAGTTTCTCCTATCCAGGTACTAGAAGTCACCTGTGCTCTCGAAAAAGAGCTTTCTGAAATTGAGTTTTTTGGGGTTTTGCAAATGCAGTTCTTCATATCTGTAATCAGGACCATAAGGCCGCCAAATGGCAAAAACAAGAACATATCCTTGATCAGCGGGCAATTAACTCCACTGCAACTATTATAGCTTCGACAAATGTGATTTTCGCTTAGCTACCGTATCCCTACCGTAACCTCGCTATGTGCCCGATTGACGAAAAATGAACATGGTATTCGTGATCAGCACGTGAATTGGATGGGTGCTGTTGTCTATAAGATGCTTCAAGTTCAGCCACAGCAATCTCGCAATAAAAGCTTAGACTTTCTGTAAGTTTCCCGTGATTTGTTGCAATTTTATAAGTTTTTGCTGCTCGAGAGGCGCCAAAGAAGTGCAAAGCACTGCATAATTGTCTCTAATGGTCGTTAAATGAAAATGTAGCTGAATAACTGAAAGAGAAAATTGAAAGTAAAACAGTTCCCGACTCGAACAAGCCTGTATGCGGCATAGAAAGCATGGAACAATGGCAGGTTGTTTTTCTTTTCTTTATACACGTTTATAGTCAGAAAAATTTCATGTGAACGAAGTTCCGCTAGCTTTTTTAATTCTACTGTCTTCTCTCTCTCACACATGGACAACTTAATGTCTAGATCATTCTTTAATGAGATTTATAAGTATGCAAAAAAATAGCTCACTCTTACTCTGTCAGATTTTTCTCATTGTAAATTATTACTAGAACATTCTGGACAGTACGTGCAACAATTCTTGGGGACTGTGCAGAAAGTTTGGGACAAATGCAAACTCATATTCGAAGAAAAGCATGAAAAAACAATTTTATGCGTATTTCTGTCTTAAAACTCGGCCCCCCTTTTTTACGATTTCAAGTTGTCAAATTCGCAAGCACATCGCTTTTCGTTCTATTTTTGCACGCTTCAATTTCTTGGTGAACGTATTCCTCCAAGCACTAAAATCATCCATCTAATAAGAGTTTTGCAAAATTTTCGATAAGATCTTTCAATTGAAATTTATAACTCATGGTCCTTCAAAATGTTGAATTCGCGAGAAGGGCATTGGTTGCTCTTGCATTTTTTTCATTTTTTCCAAATAAGATCCATATCAACACAGAATAGTCTTCCTTACTATCACTCAATAGTCACAATAATTTGGCTCATTAGAGCCCCAAAACCTTAGCTGAACCCTGCCACGAATCTCAGTTCTGCACCAGTACTAATATCCGCGCAAAATTACCCCGGATAAGTCCCCCCCCTCTGTTCCCTCTAGCTTTATGGCTAGTGATTTATTCCGCCTCTTTCACCTACATATCCATCTCATACAGCGGTCTGATGCATAATCATAAGCTGTTTCCATTCCCTTTATCTTCAGATACCGTAACCCAGCATATTTTGCCTGAAAAAATTGCTCTGAGGAATAGTCTCTTATTTGTCGTTGAAAACTTATGTAGTCACAATTTGTGGAGCTGAAAATTTTCAGTGGAGGGTGCATCACAGAATCTGTAGAAAATTTTTTTTTGGATTCTTCTGATTTGTTCCTGAAAGTTTTCTGAACTCATCCAACTTCAAAACATTCAGGAATTTTTTGATTTTTTTACCTGTAAAAGGTCGCGCGAGTTTATGTCGACGCTACAAAAGCTTTAGCCCATATTTGAGCTCCCCCCCCCTTCTTTCTTACGTTCGCTCATTCTCAAGCATATTTATTGACATGCAGGCAAACGACCCTCTACCGTAGACCTACCATGCATCAACAGTTTGCGATGTGTGATGAATGGGAGGAAAAAAAGGGGGGCTTGAGAATTCATATAGGAATTTTTAGAGAGTCTACATAAGATATATATAAAGTCATCATGTTGCTTTTTTTACTGATAAATAATCAAATAATCTCGAAAAATTTCAAAATGTTATGAATATTGAATTAGTTTTGCATATATATGGAAATCATCTGCTTCCATAAAAACGTTACTGAGATTTTAGTCAAAATCCTAAAACTTTGTTTTTTCTTCTAGGAGTAGAGAAGGTATGGCACTTGAAAAAATTCACTCTAATAATCGAAAGTGGAGAGTGAGCGGGGATAAGGGAGGGGGGGGGGGCGTAGGATGTTTACAACTCCCAAGCCCCAGCTTGCTTAACCTTGTTGACGCTCTACCTTTTCCCGCTTTTTGCAGCATTCCTTTCTTTTCATAAGCAAATCTGATTTCAAGCGTCTTTGTTAAGCCTAATTGAGCGCCGGCCCTTCTCTACTTTCCCCGTGGGAAAAGCACAGCAAGCAAGGTTGGATTTATGTAAGCACATCGCCGAACTCATCAGCTCGTCCAGGAAGGCAATCTCAGCCCCAGTTTTCTCCCATGTCACTTACCCTACCCTTATCAAATTTCTCATTTTCAGTTTCGAATATCTCGTTCAGTATATAAGTGGTCCGAACTCTGCACAAAGAGTTTTTCTACAATTATGACATATGCATCAGTTCGATATGCGGCTCTAAGCCAAGACGACGATATGGAGCAAAACTCGTCCAATGCCACTGGCAAGGACGAGTTTGTGAGCGGGATCGAGTACGGATCACCACCAGGCACCTTCGATAGTGCTTTCACATATGCCCCCTATAATGATTTGGATAAAATGGGCTATGAAGGACCGAAAAGGTGGGTGAGCTAACTAAGTGATTTGATTTCATGCCTCAATACCCTTAATTTTTGAGAAGGAAGTTCATAAATTATTTCACTGAGTAATGGAAGTGAGATGTTGGCAGAAAATTTGTTTTTGGCCTATTTCTTTTAATTTTTGAAATTTTTGCCAAATTTTTATCAAAGGAGTAAAACGGTTGAAGTGTTTTTCATTCCGTTTCTACAATTACGACAGGGCTGATGATTGGATCCATGATCTGGATGTACCAAAAATATCTTGCGTTTGTCTCCAACAAATACTTTTCACTTATTTTTAGATGCAGGCCACACATTGTTTTGCCAGATTTCTAAATTATTAGGTTAACTGATAATAATTTCGTTCCGACATGCAATCTCAGAATTTTTCCCATGGCTACAAATTGAAGGAATGAAAATTGATACCCTTTTGCCAAACCAGTGCTGGGCTGTTCCCATATAAGTAATTCTATACTACAAACCTATGTATGTGCTACTATACATAGATTTTCAGCCTTCCACTAGTTTCTGAAAATTATAAAATTTCGCGTTTCAAAAAAGACGATGTTTTTGTATTTATTTGAGATTGAAATTCCCTGCATTCGTACAAGCTTCACGCGGATCAAGTTTTATACAACTTTGAAGTCCATCCTGTAGAAATTGTTTCCCGTGTCCATGTCTGTTACAAATTGTATGAACCTAATATTTTTTTACTACTGAGAATTTTTTGTCTAAAGGTATGCACTGATAATATCCATTTTGAACAGATTTTTCCGATAGAACAATCTATCCGCAGCTTTGAAGTCTTCTCAAGATTACGTATGAGTCACGACTTTTTGGATTAAAAATAAACTTCTTGTAATGTAAATGGTATCATCAGAAAGTGTCCAGTGAGGACAAATTTTTTATTCGAACAAAGTTTTATGTAGTTTCAAAAATAATGGCCTTTCTAATTTCTAATTTGAACTGTCATAACTTTCTAAAAATCTACCTTTATGAGTGCGATAAAAACCAGTAGAAGTAGAGAACTTTTTCCAATACAGAGCACTTGCTTCTTAATTTAAAATACGAAAAAATATAGATTGAGTAAAATATGGAGAATAAAGTAAAATACGGGCAGTAAAATATGGATTGAAATACAAAAAAAGTTTTTTTCTGGACAATCATACCTTTCTTCACGTAGAAGTGATAAGTTGCCTATCTTGTAGCCGCAAGCTAGTGGAACAAAAGAAGATGGAAAGAGCTTGGGCGAAGAAGATTTGCGAAAAGAAAAAGAAATCAAAATCTAAAATTGTCAGCTTTTTCAACATCTTTTCAGTAGCCAAAAGTCCCATTACAGATTTTTTTAATATTTTTGCGTACTGGACAGCTGAATGTTTTCGCAAAACTGTCGACAGGATGACCTACCCTTAGGCTTACAGAAATGAGCAAAGCTTTGGGATATCTCAATCTGGATAATTTCAGAAACTATTAAGTGTGCATAATGTAGATAATCTCCCATGCATAAATAGCTAAATTTATTGATTAATTTAATTCCCAATAGCCAAATTTTGGAAATAACGCCGTTTATACGTGCTCGAATTCTGGCCAGAAAGTCAATGAAGTGAGATTTTGATTTCGGACGCGGTTTTTTGAAGCTCTGTAACTTCTTGAGCAGATGAAGCTAGAAGCCCGTTTTAACAATAGTGAGATAGAGCATGAAATAAGCTTTTTAATGGTATGTTGCTTTCCCAAAGAAGAATTTTTGATGAGAAAAAATTAGAAAAAGATTTGGAAAAACGGTCATTATTTTTGCATCAATCTAATATTATATGTAGATCCGCATTATCTCACAGACGAGAATGCATCGTTCTTCTCCCCCTCCCCCCCCCCCCCCCCAAAAAAAAAAACTTGTCTTAGGGCCGCATGCACTAACCTCCCCGCTGGGGAGGGAATAGCAGCTCAAAAGAAAGCTTTGTATTGCGAAACTCCAGATACCTGGATTTCACATTGTGTACCTATCCGTAAGTATTCCTACTACCCTTCACTATAACATGTTGAACAGGAGCGAGAAGCTGTACGAACCGCATTTTCAAGCCTTTGTATGATCCCTGATGATCCCCGGCGCTTTTCTTTAAAGTCGTTTTTCTTTCACGAAAATCTTCCAAAGTTGTACTGAACATCTAATACAACAGTGCTAAGCGTGTTGCTGATGAGAACAAATGAGTTTTTAAAAAGTCGAATTTTTCGGTAAGCCTCAAATTTCGACCTGTGGATCATCGAACTTTTCATGACTTCAAAACATCATTTGTTCTTATCAGCAACATGCTTAGCACTGTCGGTTTAGTTAATCTGCACAACTTTAGAGTTTTTTCGTTAACTTCGGAGAAAGAAAAATGACTCTAAAGAAAAGCGCCGGGGATTATCAGGGATCATACAAAGCTAAAAAATGCGGTTCGTACAGCTTCTCGCTCCTCCTCAACATGTTCATAGTGGAGGGTAGTAGGAATACTTACGGATAGTTACACAACGTGAAATTCAGGTATCCGGAGTTTCGAGTTATGAAGCTTTCGTTTAAGCTGCGATCCCCTCCCCGCGAGGATGTTAGTGCATGCGGCCCTTAGTAATAAGTCCTGTGGCCGTATTCATCAACGAACCCTGAGGGTTAAGCTTACCCTCCAGGGTTAGTTTAACCCTCAGGGTTCATTGGCCGTATTCATCAACCATAGGCTGGGGTTTACCACGGAACGCGATCCACCCGTATCGATCAACGAACCTGTGGCCATATTGGAGGGTTAAGGCGTCAGTTACGCGTGCGCTGTGCAAACCCACATCACAGAATGCCTAAGTACGGGCTAAATTCACATTATACTTCTATTCTTTCACTGTTATAGTAGTATAGTCAACGAATAAGCTTCTAACACTAGTTTTTATAATACATCTCTAGCACACTTGTGCAGCATCCAATATCACAGCGTGAGTTTATTTTCATGTGTGCAATTGTGCAGTGTAAGTTCTACTTTTGCGCAGTTCGTTTTATACCGGGCTTGTGCTACTCCTTTAGGGGTCAACGCGTGTCAATATAAAGGGGTTCTTCTGTTTTGGCACTTCTCGGAGTGGAATGCCATTTTTTCTCGTCGCATTCATTTGTCACCAAAGCTAGAATTCTTTTTCTCGCAAAGTCAGTGTTTCATGTATTTCGAATATGAACATAAAACGAAGTCGAAACTAAATACTATAACAACAACCAATACTAAATACTACAATACTCGTTGATCGTTTTCCATAAACTGTTAGATGCGAGTAAATGTTTGTATGAAGTGTTAGGGTAGAGTTAACCTTGCTCTGAGCTAGGGTTAAATTAACCCTGATGAATCACGTAAGTTTAACCCTCCAAGGTTAGTTTAACCCTCACGTTTCGTTGATGAATACGGGTTAGTCTCTTTCGGGGTAAAATTAACCCTCAAGGTTAGATTTAACCCTCAGGGTTAAGCCTCCCTGTGTTTCATGAATACGGATTAAAGGCTTTCCAGGGTTAAACTAACCCTCCAGGGTTAGTTTAACCCTCGGGGTTCGTTGATGAATACGGCCACTGCTTTTTTATAATTCCTCTCTATAAAGAATTTGATCGAATTTCCAATAGAATATTCCCAAAATTTGAGGAAAAACTCAGAGTTTTTTTTGACAGTTTCAAATAAAAAAAACTTTTGCGGGCTTATGAAGTCGAAATTCCGAGAAGAAGTAAAGGCAAACACACCCATTTTTTACGTAGTAATTTGAATTGTTGAATTTCAAAGATCATCTCAATTGTTTATAAGTATGAAATTAAGTTCTTTGCACGATTCAGCCCCTCTCGCCACTCCGCCACTGCCTTTAATGTATCTAGCAGTAGCTTCCCTACTAGATAAACGCTCCCATTAGAAAACAAAAAATAAATAAATAAAAGCTTGGCCACCCATATCTAATTTCCACTGAGTTTCTTTTAACAGGTGTAACATTGAGCAGTTCTTCTCTGGACTGCAATTTTCGCGGATAGGGGGCCCAAAAAATGGAATTTCTTAGCAAGCTTGATGTTAAGCAAATCGGAAAATCTACATTCTAGGATGGGTAACTGGATCGGCAATCGTTTCAGTCATTTCACGTATAATCATGCATTTGACGAAGATGAAGAGAAGGAGGTTGTTCAATTGTTGGTTCTTAAAAATGACCTAATTTCATGGAAATTTATTTTAGGTTGCGCCAATGAACACTATCGAGTTAATCATTTATGTTTTGAGTGTTATATTAGTGGTGTTTACTTTACCACTCTCGCTACTTTTTGTGTTGAAGGTAAAATTTCAGATTTGAAAGATTTGTTTCTAATCTAATATTTCTCTAGTTCGTTTCAACTTCTGAACGGCTTGTGGTGCTAAGGCTAGGACGAGCGCAAAAGACTCGAGGACCTGGAGCAACGTTTATATTACCATGTATAGACAATACATATAAAATTAGCACTACCATCTCAGCTTTCAACGTTCCTCCTCTACAGGTAGGTGATTAAATTCTTTAGCTGTTTAGTGGAATTGTATAATTGAAAAATTCATAACTTGCATGCCAGTAGAAAGTTTTGATAAAACATTTTTAAAATGCTGATTGCAAAAGTTTTCATCTAATATCCTTAATTATCCTTGGATAGCAGTCCCCACTGCTGTTCACCTGGCATCTCAACTTCCATATGTAACCTTTGATTCAAATTGCTTGGCTGCTGGAAGGCGGGGCTTTGTGACTTAGTTGAGGCCGCTCGCGCCCGTGACGCAGTCTGCCCCTCTCTCGCGCGAGTGCTCTCTGATCATTACCTAGCCTTAATTAGGTCACGAAGCCCCGCCTTCTAGCCGCCAAGCCACTTGAACCAAAGATTAGTCGCATTTAGGGCCATGCATACTTCACGCGATTTGGCAAATCGCCAGAAATCTTCAGATCCAACACTATCAAACTGCACATGCACGGTGTGTATAACATGTGTGGATTGATAAAATGCCCCATCTTCTGTACATTTAAAATGAGCTTACAAGGAGTTATGGACAGTGGAATATTGCCAAATCGCGTCGCGACTGAAGTCGCGTGAAGTATGCCCGGCCCTTTTGGACGTATCTTTTTTCGTTCATGATGAGTACACTATCCTGCACTTTCTTTTGCTTGCTTCATCGAAGTACGAGCGCTTTCTTTGTTGTTCTTTGAATGACTAGGGCTACTGGCCTCATACTAACGGTATCAAAAATCCTTACCCTTTGATTCAACTGGTTTGGCGGCTGGAAGGCGGGGCATCGTGACCTAATTAAGACTAGGTAATGATCAGAGAGCACGTGCGCAGGAGAGACGCAGACTGCGTTGCGGGCGCGAGTGGCCTCAATTAGGTCACAAAGCTCCGCCTTCCAGCCGCCAAGCCGGTTGAATCAAAGGTTAGAAGCGGAAACTTTTAGCGCAGATGTACGAAATATCTCGTAGTCATACATCAAGTCACAAGTTAGACGACCATACGACTATCTCACTAATGATTTCGGAAAAATTACGAAATTGTTAGATCATCCATGTTTGGGAAATATGGGCACTGCAAAGACAAACTGTTACATATTTCAATCTGTAGAAAATTTTGGAAAACAAATAACGCTACTCAAAGTCTTTGATTTTTCCTTCTTTGTACCACATAAATCTCGTTTGTACATTATGTACCAAAAGTAAGATATGAGATTCAGGTGATCACCATCGACCGAGGTTTGGTAGAACTTGGAGCAACAGTATTCCTCAGGATTCGTGATCCTATCTTAGCCGTTTGCTCTATACAAGTGAGTTTTTGTCTTTATATAGCTTCTCTGCATTAGATAACTTTGATTAAGAACAACCTACAAATTTTAAACAGCAAACTAAGTGTCAACATCATATGCATTTTCTATACACTCTATTGTTTCATTCCTTATTATCTTTCCACAATTTCCGAGTTATCGCACTTTCATCGTGTTTCTGATAATTCCATATTTGGCAAGTTCTAGTTTTTGAGACATACACTTTCAATATTTTGGGAGACTAAAAAAATTCTAACATATTATATACCAAATTCATTCATGTTGTGCTATATCGCAAGCGTAGAACTTCACCTTACCTGTCACTTCAGAGTTTCTCTTATGCTGACTAAGGTTCAGGATCGAAACACCTCCACAAGAACGTTGGCAAACACAATGCTTTATCGATATATCAGCCGGAAGCGAATTTGCGAAATTACAAATGGTCAGGAACGACGCATACTTGCTGGAACATTCAAGGTCTTCTTGATCTCGCTCTGATTTTTGCTTCTTGATATTGATTTCGCATTTACAGGATGAATTAGGCAGTTTTACTGCTATTTACGGTGTGGAGATCACTGATGTAGAGTTGTCAGATGTGAAAGTCATCAAGGTACATAGTTTCACACATCTTTTCCGTATTTCACAGAAGATTTTCGAAATTATGACAATTTTAGGCATGCTAAATATTTTCCTACAGTTTTTGAAACCTTTTAGAAAATTCTGTATATTCTTCAAAGGATTTTCGAACTTATAAGAGGCACTATTTGTTTACTTCATTCCAAACCTTTGAAGATATAAGCTATAATTTCTAGATATTTGTATTACTTACAGGAAGGAGAGGACATGGGGATGGCAACGTTGAGTGCCGTTGTCAAATCTGATGCTGGACAAAAGCTTTGGGAGGTAAATGTAGAGCTTATCGCATCCATATTTGATAAAATGATTTGTTCTACTCAAAGATTTTTGTTTTTGATCTGGCTCACCTGATACTTCCACACTTGTTAAGCTTAGAAAATTACTGACTTTTATTTAAGATGCCATCTTACAGGCATTTTTTTTACTCCTCAGTTGATTATCTTTGTTGAGTTTTTTCTTATGTTCTATTTTCCATCAGTACTAGTGTTTCAGAAAATAAAATTTTAGTGAGGTTATCAGTATCAGTCAATCAGTAGACTTAAAATACATGATAAATATACTCTTTAAGTATCAGTTTAAGTATCTGACTTTTGTTATAATTTTTTCCTTTCAGGTAATCGCCCCGCACGTCGAGGAATTTGCCCGAGAAGCTGCCGAAATGGCAGCAGAGAACGCACAAGCGCAAGGCAGTCAATCAGCTACCGGTCCCTCAGCTAAAGAAGAAGAACTCATTAATTTCGACGAGAACATCGATGAAGATCGAATTGTAACGGCCATCAATATGGCAATTGACAGTCAACTGGCAAAAGCCATCAATCGAGTTTTTCAAGTGAATTGTGCCGGTTTAACCCCGATGTACATCGACCTAAGACGACAACCGGCTGTTTGTGCCAAAGGAACTGTCGCGAATCCAGATGTGATCTTCGAGATGAATCAGGCAACTTTTTTGAAAATTATCAAGGAGGAATTGTCACCGATGAACGCCTACATGCAAGGAACTCTAAAATTATCCGGTGCCATACAGGATGCTTTGTCTTTGAAGTATCTTGCTGAAAGGGTGAAACAATTGTTATGAGCCATTGTCAGCAGTCATGCGTTTATATACGGGTCTATCATTGCTTCAAATGTTTTTCCTTTATTTTCTCAATATTTTGAGTTGCTAGTGTGTTAACCTGTAATAAATGTGCATTTCTCTTTTGTGATGGGAACAGTTCTTAGATTTAATGCATTTCCTAGGACATGCACAATGAAAAAAAAATAATCTGAACAGATCTTCACTAATCATCTGAACTAAAAAGCGAAAATTAGTTCGTAGGGTTGAATAAGTTGAGACTTTTAGAGTCGCTTATATGAGCGAGAATAGTGAGAGCAAAAATTGCTATCGTTTCAAGAGCTTTCCAAACCAATGGAACTTGATTCTACAGAAAAAGCGCCTAGATTTCTTGCCTCAGAACTCTTTTTAGTTTCTTACAGTTCGCTCGAGGACCCTTTTCTCGAAAACTTGCTTACAATTAGTTAAAATCACCCACTCGACAATCATTCTTGTCAAACACAAATTCTAATTCTAGTCTAATGATCGTACCGTTGAATAGGTTTTTTGTTAATGTATAGCGTTTCCCTAGAACTATGTAGGTCGTCCTTGGGGAATAGATATTGACTTTCTCAAATTACTTTATAATTTTCTCCGTTGCTTGAGCACAGTCTATCAGTAGACGTAAATAATTATAAACTACGCAATCCACTTTAGAAGTCGGCGTTTCATCCTCACTAAAAATTATGCACCTTCATACAAAAGTAAATACCTATTCAACCGTGTAGTGGAGTCGATTACAACTCAATATGTGAAATTGCGGAATGCGCGTGACATTTATGACTTTCGTGGAACAATAGATAAAGTGTAGTCATACCATGTGTGCACTGGACACAGTTTCCAACTTTGCCGTTCTCATTGTGGATTTGCAATCGAAAAACGCAGTACAGTCCAGTAGATTTCCTGCTTAATATAGTGCCCCTGCAGACGCGACAACGCTTGGGCGTCAACAATTGCCATTGTCAGTTCCCGCCAGTGTTTTTAGCATTTTCTTTGCTTATTGTCTGCTTTTCAGGTACCTTCGTTGCTGATAAAGGAGAAAAGGGTAAGTTAGAGAGTAACTTCTGCTTTCTGATTAGTTATATCATCGCTTTATCCCAGATATCTAGGTAAAGCCATGTCACATCAGTATTGTGCGTGATTTTTGTCACTTCATGCCTCATACTTCTTGCGAAGTATTCTTTTGAACGCTAGTAGGTTCTGCGTTTGAATTATTGTCTTTATCATACGAAGTACTCGATTAAATGCTGTTTTTTGGGGAGTGAAAGCCAAAATTGCAACTAGCCAAGCCAACTAGCGTTCAAGAACTGCTGCGCAAGAAGAAAGAGGCACGAAGTGAGAGAGAAGCAAATGAGAAAAAATACACATGGAACTGACGCGAGTGCTCCCACGTAAATACTTGAGGATGCGATATTATAACTATTCAGGAAACAGAAACTACTCTTTCAACTTACGCTTTTCTCCTTCATCAGCAGCGAATTTCCTAAAAAGCAAAGATTAAGCAAAGGAAACATAAGAAAACACTGCTTGGAAATGGCATTGGCAATTGTTGACGCCCAAGCGTTGTCGCGCCTGCAAGGACACTATATTAAGCAGGAAATCTACTCGACTGTACAATGATCTATTGTTACTGCATACATCACTTCGGATGTGGCTGGTACCTAAGATGGATAAAAAATATAAAGAAAACATCAAAAACACGGCGTCTGCTCTCAGAATCAGGATGGGAACGCCTAAGGTGGACAGTTTGTGCAATGACACACGTGATCATATGGAATGACATGTGTACCTATAGGGCATTTGAGGAATCGTGACGATTGCGCGATCGCGCGCGACACGCACGCCCCTTCCGGAAATCGCATTTTTTGGTCTTCATCTTTAGTCGAATGGTTTTTTTTGCTTACGTATGATGATATCTGAACACTAGAAGTGACTGAGTTAAACGTTGAGGTGATGCCTTCTTGAACGTTTTATGCTCATATGGGCGCAACTCCGCAGCAAAATCCATCGCCACGATTTCATAAACGAACTATATAAGTAACTTCGGCCCAGGAAAAAAACGAAAAAAAAACTTGAAATTGGCGTCATGCAAGCAACGTACCGTAATACACAGCTCGCAAAAATTTAAATATAATTCACTGCTTTGGACAGCTATGACATGCGGTATGTAAGGTGGAAGCGTTTTGCGGGTAAGAGACAAGCGGAGATCGTAAGAGCCTTCGGCGAAGCCCCTAAAGATTGCCAATTTCTGCTTAGTCTCATTAACACATTTACGACAAGGTCGATTTTTCGATGACTGCCACTTCGGACCAGAGCATATCTCGCAATATTGAGTTTGCGTAATATTCTACTCATCGGTGGGTCCTGACATCTGAAATGTTGAACTTTTGGTGAAATATTCCAAGAAGTGTTTACGAGCCCTTAGTAAGCCCCCGAAATATGTCGTGGTGTAAAGAAAACATCCAATCCCACACTTCGAAAGTTGTCGACGGCGCGCACTGACAACGCGCCTCTGATATCTTTTCGATGTCAAGAAATTAGAGTTGAAGCTAGGGAAGTGAAGATGCGACCGACAGAACAGTCGCTTATGACATCTTCCGAGCAAATTGATAAGCAAGCTTTAATGTGTGTTAGCCTGTATGTACGATGTAAAAGTATGCACTGCACCACCATGTTCGCTATCAAGGAGCATGCTGGCGATACTGCAAACGGGACGAATAGCGCAGCGTCAGTGCTGGAGGGCGCTGAGCTAGCGGTGGCGGGTACGAGTACGCTGTAAGTATTATTTGCAAGTTGCTGGTTAATTATTTTTTATCTACGTGAAAGTAATTTGTCAATTTTTTTGGTGATAGGGGAAAATGCCAATTCAAAGCATAAAATTTCGGCAATACACAAGACAAATTGCATTATTATAAAACATTCACTTTTTCGGTTGATACAGACATGAGCTATTCCGTTAATCATAACGCCAAACGGTTCCCTCCCTCAAATCAACGGAAATGCTGAGCGTACAGCTAATGAATAGCAAATCAGCAAATATAGGTTGTAAAAGGTACTAACAGGGAAAGTCACTTAACTTAGGTCAGCCTTGTGAAATGAGACACATATATTTGGAATCTGCTCGGAACGCTGATTTCAAATTGCCGTCCTTAGCTGCGAAGCGCTTCTCTGAAGCGGGTTATGAGCTTTTTCCTAAGCAAAGCTTGCGTGTCACCGCCTTACAGATACCACGATATCATCATCTAGGTACTCAGATAATCGCCGGGGGCAGGCGGTCCGCGAACTCGCGCTTTTCTGCAAGCGATCAGCAGAATTTTGGGGCGTGGCCAAACCTTCAGCGAGCGGTACTTCCTTTACTGTTTAATGTTCTGCCAGCGGGCAGCAACACAGAATTTTCTGCAGGCGCTCGGACGGTTAATAATCTCTTTCAGCGAATTCTCAAATAATCTCTTTCAGCGAGCGCTGGTCAAATTTTCAGCTGGCGCTCGGACGGTTTTTAAGCAGTTTCGGGCGTACGTCGAGCAAAGGTGAGACTCTACAGGGCAGAGGTGTCATCGATGGTTTAATTACTCAAGTTTGAGATACTTCTCTCAGCGGAAAGTACCTGGGGGTTGTGCGGTCCTTCGCAAAGGATCGTGCGGCCCTCGAAAATTTTGCATATTCTCGCGGAAAGTCGAGAATGCGGCGACTGCGCCGCAGCTAATCTATAAGGAAACCGCGATTGTTCTCCAAGCATTCGATCAGAATTTCGCTAAAATTCTTCCAAATATCTGCAAGCGGATCGCAAGAAATCAGCGAACTATTTTTCCGGTGGCCGCCCGCCCATAAATCGCATGGCCGCCTGCCCCCGGCGATTATCTGAGTAGTGTTTCACATGCATACTACACCCTATCAAGGTCAAATGACTCAATTTGATGTTATTTCAATTTTCCACCATTTTTTTGAGCAGATTCCGTCTACAAGCCTTCTTTCCATATTCAGCTGCATGTCAATGACACATGCCAAAAAGCTCATAACTCGCTTCAGAGAAACGCTTCGCAGCTAAGGACAGCATCTTTGAAATCAGCGTTCCGAGCTAATTCTAAATATAGGGTCTCATTTCAAAAGGCCGACTTAAGCTAAGTGACCTCTCTTGTAAGATGGAAAAAATAAGGAAATTTTGACATGCAGGAAAAACTTGGTGCGCAAATGAGCTGCGACGTCAGAACAAAAAAAGAAAACATAATTAAAACACGACAAGATACGAATGATTAGATTAACGATGTAATTTGTAGCCAGAATAAACCCACCTTTTCCAAATTACAAAGAATATAGCAGCAGAAATTCTCAGAAAACAGAAAAGTCGCGCGTTGACATTTGGGCGCTTATCAGCTGTTAATATCGATTGCATTTGGTATGCGTTGAACATAGTGCTGTGCTTCTACGGTCCTTGCGCACAGGAAACTCGGTGTACTTGACTCCTAGTCGGGTGCGCCTTCCTGCGTCTCCACCTTGGGCGCACTATTTTGCTTTGTCTGCCCCTCGAATGACGACGTTCACATCGTGCTCGTCCGCTGCGCACGAGGACGAGCACGTCCTGCAGTCACGACGTCCAGTGTTTTCGAAGCGCGGCCATGATAAGAGATAGCCGCCGGACGAATCGCGTCGAAACGACACAAGCGAAACATCGCACGTACTGCGTGCGTGCCATGTTTCGAACGTCGCGACCATCACGAGGGGGGGGGGGTTACTACGGGCTCAAGTTTATTCCCTTCGTTCAAGAAGCTTCGTCGTATGCTAGCAAAATCAAAATTTCGCAAAGCATACAAACCACTGGTGGGTCCTATTGTCGTGAATGTGTTAAACTGTTGTGTCACGCACTAACCGGGGTCATTAGTGAGAGGGCGGATGTCTAGGAGGGGATAGAGAAAGAGATAGAAGAGTTTATAGGTCGACAAGGAACAGGTAAATCACAGCAGCGAGGAAAACCAAATTGGCTGCCGGAAACTCGCCATTTCTAGTCACAAAGGTGCAGATATCATTAAAGGTCAGCAGTGCAACAATCAACACAACAAACGAATCACATATTGATCTAGAAAAGCCATTGTGGAATGACCA